AATGCGCTCCACGCCAGTGAGGAGGAGGAAGGCGAGGGAGGCAAGGCCCAGAGGTACACCCAGAACCCTCCAAGAGACCCTGGGGAAGACCGTCCTGCACAGCGAACCTCAATTTACTTTTTTCTACAATGGGCTGGCATCACCTCATATTTGTAAATTTTCCCAGTTTCTGAGGCAAACCTCTTAAAGTGCTAAAACTTTTTTTAAATAATTTTTTTTTTTTTTTGAGACACGGTCTCGCTCTGTCACCCAGCCTGGAGAGCAATGGTGCAATCTTGACTTCCTCCAGCCTTGAACTCCTGGGCTCAAGTGATCCTGCCACTTAGCCTCCTGAGCAGCTGGGACGACAGGCTCATGCCACGCACACCCAGCTAATTTTTGTATTTTCGTAGAGACAGGGACTACCCTGTGTTGCCTACGGTGGTCTCAGACTCCTGACTCCTGAGCTCCAGATTGCAGTGATACAATCTCAGTTCATTGCAAGCTCTGCCTCCCAGGTTCAAGCAATTCTCCTGCTTCAGCCTCTTGAGTAGCTGGGACTACAGGCGCCTACCACCATACCTGGCTAATTTTTTTTTTTTTTTAAGATGGGTTTCTCCATGATGGCCAGGCTGGTCTCGAACTCCTGACCTCAGGTGATCCACCCACCTCGGCCTCCCAAAGTGCTAGGATTACAGGTGTGAGCCACAGCACCCAGCCTCCTGGCTAATTTTTTGTATGTGTGTTTTTAGTAGAGATGTGGTTCCACCATGTTGGTCAGACCGGTTTCGAACTCCTGACTTCAGGTGATTCCCCCTGCCTTGGCCTCCCAAAGTGCTGGGATTACAGGCATGAGCCACCACACCTGGCCTATATTATTATTATTATTTTTAGTTTTTTAGAGATAGGGGTCTTGCTATGTTGCCCAGGGTGGTCTTGAACTCCTGCACTCAAGCAATCCTCCCACCTCAGCCTCCCAAAGTGCTGGGATTACAGGTGTGCACCACCATGCCCCCAGCCTACAGATTTTTAAACTATACACAGAGTTCATACTTATTCAGCTTCACTGGAATGTGTGCTCAGGTGCGTGAGGGCAAGGATATTTTCTGCCCTCCCAGGTGCCTAGGACAGGGCTGGCTCAGATCAGGTGCTTCCTACTTAGGTGTGGCGTGAATGTTTATTGAAAAAGCTGGGAAGCAGCGTGGTTCACGCAGGCGTTGGAGGCTGAGAGCCCAGATCCCAGCTCTACTGCTTCACTTGCTAGGTACTTCCCTGGTTGCCCTGGTTTTCTCCTGGGGTGATGAGGTACCTACCCTGCAGGGTGACAAAGTTGGTGTAGGGGTAAGGGGGCACCCTCACAGGTGCATCGGAAAATATTAATGAGCACCTGCTGTGTTCTGACTCCAAGCTCACAGCTATGAAAAAAAGAGGTAAGTCTGCCCTCCTGGAGTTGACGGTCTCAGTGGGGAGACAGCTGATAAATGCATCCATAGCATCAGATATTGGTAATGGTGATAAAGAAAAATAAAACAAGAGGAGATGGAGAATGGGAGATGTGCTTACTTAGGATCACTCAAGGAGACCTCGCTGAGGAAGTGGCAGCTGAAGGGAGTGGAGGGTAGGAGCCTTGTGGGGCTCTGGGGGAAGAGGCTTCCTGGCAGAGGCAACAGTAAATGCAAAGGCCCTGGGGAAGAGCCACACGCGTTTTTGTTTTTGTGTTTTAGACGGGGAGTCTTGCTCTGTCACCAGGCTGGAGTGCAGTGGTGCTATCTTGGCTCACTGCAATCTCTGCCTTCTGGGTTCAAGCGGTTCTCCTGCCTCAGGCTCTGGAGTTGCTCGGACTACAGGCGCGCACCACCACGCCCAACTAATTTTTGCATTTTTTGTAGATACGGGGTTTCACCATGTTGACCGGGATGGTCTCGATCTCTTGACCTTGTGATCCGCCTGCCTCAGCCTCCCAAAGTGCTGGGATTACAGGCGTGAGCCACTGCACTCGGCCTAGAGCGAGAATCTTAAAAGCAAAGAAACAAAAAACTCCCGGGGACGTGGCGGGTGGGAGCAGGGGGTATTGGCAAAACAAAAAAACTTCTCCAACTCCCTAGCTTCCCAGAGATGCCCCCTGCGGCCCCAAGCAGCATGGTCATTTTCTGCATGTGACTTGTCACCCCTTCTTCTTCCTTCGCAGCTCCCTGGGGTACATCCCCCTAATGAGGGTGGTGCAATCGGTGCGACACACGACACGGAAATCCAGCAGCACGCTGCGGGAGGGCTGGGTGGTTCATTACAGCAACAAGGACACGCTGGTGAGTGGCTGGGGCAGGGCCAGGTGCAGAGGAGCGAGGGTTGGAAGAGGGACGGCTCAGCTTGAGTGGGCGGGGCTAGGTGGGTGGGGCTGGAGCTGGGCGTGGGCGGGGCCATGCTGGAGGCGGGGCTAGAATTAGGAGTGTGGGTTTTAAGGGTGGGACGAGGGACAGGAGTTAGGGAAGACGCGGGGCTAAAGGCAAGGCGCGGCGTGGGGGGCGGCGGGGAGAGCTAGAGTTAGGGGAGGAGCTTGGCTGGAGGAAGAGGGCTAAGTGGGGGCGAGGCTGGGGTTAGGGTCTGGGGGATGGGCTAGGGTTAAAGCTAGGGGCGGGGCTAGGGTTAGGGCGTGTAGGCGGGGTGGGGTTACATCGTGGGGTAGGTGCTAGGCTTAGGCGTGCACGTGGTGCTCCAGACACCTGGAGCCCCAAACAGCATCACCGGACAGGGACTGGGGAGGAAAGTCTGGCGGTTCACCTGACCCTTCAAACATCTCTGCAGAGAAAGCGGCACTATTGGCGCCTGGACTGCAAGTGCATCACCCTCTTCCAGAACAACACGACCAACAGATACTATAAGGTGAGTCCCCGGGACCTCAGCTCCCCCGGGCTTCCCTCTGTGCCGACAAACTTCTCCACACCTCCTCTTACCCCCTACCCCCAGTTACTCCAGATAGATCCTGCAAATCACGTCCTCCCTGCCTCAGCTCATCAGCAAGTGCTGCTCATCTGATTCTGGCCCCACCACTTTCCAGCGCCGGGCTGCGGTGGGTGGTGGGGAAGGGAGGGAAGGGAATCCGGGCCGGTTCCCTTATTTCTTGGTGCCTCAGGTTTCTTACCTGTAAAATGTCTCAAATGCTAATACCTCAGGGCTGGTGCAGGAATTCAAAGAGCCAATCCACTAAAGCAATCAGCTTAGGGCGTGGTATATGTTAAGCTCCCGGTAATTCTAAGGCTGTTCTCACTATTCCTTTATAATTAATGTATTGCATGATGTGTGCCTATTCATCACTGTCTCCCGTGCCCACACCGTGTCCCAGCCACTGTCTTCCACCTCGATGGTTGCAGCCTGCTCCTTGCAGGGTCCTTGCTTCTGATCTCGAAGCCTCTGTCATTTCCCCCATAGCAGCAGGGGGAGTCTTTATTAAAAGCATTAAGGCCTGGCATGGTGGCTCATGCCTGTAATGCCAGCACTCTGGGAGGCCGAGGAGGGCAGATGACCTGAGGTCGACAGTTCGAGACCAACCTGAATAACATGGAGAAACCCCGTCTTTACTAAAAATACAAAAATTAGCCATGCATGGTGGCAAAAAGCCTGTAATCCCAGCTACTCAGGAAGCTGAGGCAGGAGAATCTCTTGAACTCAGAAGGCAGAGGTTGCATTGAGCCGATATTGTGCCATTGCACTCCAGCCTGGGCAACAAGAGGGAGAATCTATCTCAAAAAAAATAAGGAAAGACAAGAAATCGTCAAAACCCTCCAGTGGCTCCCATTGTTCTTAGAGTAATAAAACCCGGACTCCAGCTGTTACCTGCCCTGGAGTGTCTTCCTTGGATTTTCCATAGCTGGTTTCTTCTCATCTTCCCATTTTGTTCAGATAACACCATCTAAAATGCTGTGCTTGGCCGGGCACAGTGGCTCCTGCCTGTAGTCCCAGCACTTTGGGAGGCCGAGGCGGTGGGGGTGGGAGGATGTCACTGGAGGTCAGGAGTTTGAAACCAGCCTGGCCAACATGGTGAAACCCCATCTCTACTAAAAATACAAAAATTAGGCTGCGCGCGGTGGCTCCCGCCTGTAGTCCCAGCACTTTGGGAGGCCAAGGCGGGGATCACTTGAGGTCAGGAGTTTGAAACCAGCTTGGCCAACATGGTGAAACCCTGTCTATACTAAAAATACAAAAATTAGCTAGCTGTGGTGGCGGGTGCCTGTAATCCCAGCTACTTGGGAGGCGAGGCAGAAGAATGGCTTGAACCTGGGAGGTGGAGGGTGCAGTGAGCTGAGATTGTGCCACTGCACTGTAGCCTGGGCAACAGAGCAAGACTGTCTCAAAAAGTAAAATAAATAAAATGCTGTCCTCACCCCCCATGTGTCCATGTCACCACCTGGTTTTATGGGCTACCTAAGTCATTCATCCTCCCTCCCCCCTTCCTCCTTGGACACGTTTCCTACCCCATGGTCCCTGCGCCTTCTGTCCCACCTGGGTCCCCTCAGCCTCCTTCCTGGTTCACTGTCTCCATCTCATTCTGTTCCATCTGCCCTCTGCACACAAACAGATGATGCTCAGAAGCCTACAGTGGCTCCCTAGGGCCCTTGGACAAAGCCCAGACTCCTCCCCGTGACCTGTGAAGCCCTGCGTGGCCTCATTTCCTTCATTTAGTATCAAACGTTTATTTATTTTGCGATAGGATCTTGCTCTGTCTCCCAGGTGCAGTGGCATGATCATGGCTTACTGCAACCTCTGGCTCCCCAGCTCAAATGATTCTCCCACCTCCCTAGTAGCTGGGATTATAGGCTCTCACCAGCGTGCCTGGCTAATTTTTGCATTTTTTGTAGAGATGGGGGTCTCGCTGTGTTGCCCTGGCTGGTCTCAAACTCCTGGGCTCCAGCGGTCTGCCTGCCTTGGCCTCCCAAAGAGCTGAGATTACAGGCTTGTGGCACCTTGCCTAATTTTTAAATATTTTACAGAGCCAGGGTCTCACTGTGTTGCCCAGGCTGGTCTTTTTTTTTTCTCTCTTAAGGCATTCATTTATTACAGCATTCTCTGATTTCACAGTAGCTTAGAATTCAATTCAGTCTTGACATTTCTCCACTGAGGCCGCTGCCTCAGCATACGACACAACCTCTCCTCCAACACTCAGTGTGACCCGAATCCGAACGGCGAGCCCCAGGGTCAGCCTCTTTGCTTCCCAGGTGAACCAACTAGATGTTGAGGCTGCGTGCTACAAGGTGAGAGCTCCTAACTCAAACTTCCTGGAGAAGGAGGGAAACGTCTGCAACATGCACTTTAGAACAAGTGCTTTTTGCTTATGAAAAGAAACCAGTGAGGCCTCTAAGGATAACGAAAGGGAGTATTTTACAGCGAAGCCCATGATTCGGAGTGAGGAGTCCGGGTGTTGCTCTGCTGCTCCAGGCTGCTCACCCTCTTCTTGCTCCTCCTGTTGGTCCCCTTCCTCAGGCATCACATAAGCCTCCATCTGTGGCATACGGAACGGCTACAGTCCTCCGCAATACCGGGTGGTTTTCCTCCTCATCCCCTGGCAAATCAATTCAATGTTCCGTAGCTTTCCGAAGTAGAAATCCCTGTCTTTCTCCAAGTCTTTAACAGTAAGTTTCAATACGTTGACCAGCTGCTTCAACTCGGCTGCCCCGGCATCACCAGGGCTCTTGCATAGCGCGCCAGGGCCGGCCTGAGGAACCGCAGCAGCGCCGTGCTGAGACGGGCCTCTGGGAGCTGCACTGCCAGAGCTGACAGCAACGAGGGAGGGAGCCGCTGCCGTTCCTTGACCTCGTCTGGCAGCCACAGGGTCATAGTCTTTTCCGTCATAGTTTGCGGCAGAAAACTCCTTGAATCACTGAACGAATTCACAATTGTCCTGAAACATTCCTTTTACTAATTTGTCCATAGGAATTATTTTGTCAACACCCATCCTCTTAAAACCTGCTTGTATTTTGAAGTTCTGGATGTACTCGTGTTCTAGCTTAGCTTGGAATTTCACTTTCTTCAAGGCAATGGAGCCAGGGAACAGCAAGTCCATAAACACAATAGGCAGCCCCTGAGCACAGCTGTGTCAGATTCAACTGCAGAGACTCATTGAGCCAGGCCCGCATGCCACGTGGACTTAGATCATCACCAGTCACTGACGTTGAGTACACGTTCACCGCCAACTTCGGCTCCCGGCAGAACCGCGTCCGCTGCCCACAGCCGGCTCTGGTTCCATCTTCGTCTCGTTCCCCAGGCTGGTCTTGGACTCCTGGGCCATCTGCCCACCTCGGCCTCCCAAAGTGCTGGGAGTACAGGCATGAGCCACCGTGTCCAGCCATCAAACGTTTTCCAAGCTCTTACTGTGTCCAGGCACCACCCCACGTGATGGGGATGCAGCTTAGCCTGGAGCACAGCCTTTCCTCAGGGCCTTTGCACATGCTGTGGTTCACCCACTCCTTGCCAGCTGGCCTCTTCTTACCTTTCTGGTCTCTGCTTCGATATCACTTCTGCCAGTAATTATTATTACTATTATTATTTCTGAGATGGAATCTCGCTCTGTCGCCCAGGCTGGAGTGCAGTGGCACAATCTCGGCTCATTGCAACTACCGTCTCACAGGTTCAGGTGATTCCCCCGCCTCAGCCTCCCAAATAGCTGGGATTACAGGCACGCATCACCATGCCCGGCTAATTTTTGTATTTTCAGTAGAATTGCATGGTCTGCCTGGCATCCTCACCTGTGCTGGTTCCATGTCCTGCAGGAAATCCCACTGTCAGAAATCCTTACGGTGGAGCCCGCCCAGAACTTCAGCCTTGTGCCACCGGGCACCAACCCACACTGCTTTGAGATCATCACTGCCAATGCCACCTACTTCGTGGGCGAGATGCCTGGCGGGGCTCCGGGTGGGCCAAGTGGGCAGGGGGCCGAGGCTGCCCGGGGCTGGGAGACAGCCATCCGCCAGGCCTTGATGCCCGTCATCCTTCAGGATGCACCCAGCGCCCCAGGCCACGCACCCCACAGTAAGTCCCCCCACTTCAGGTCCTTGAGAGAATGGGTCTAGGTGGGCGGGCAGGATGCTGGGGAGTGGAATGGCCAAAGACGGAGGTGGGCTATGGTGGGGTTGAGAATGTGGCTTCTGGACTCAGCAGGCCTGGGTTCAAACTCGTTAATCACACCTGTTAATCCCAGCACTTTGGGAGGCCAAGGCGGGAGGATCACTTGAGGCCAGGAGTTCAAGACCAGCCTGGGCAACATAGCGAGATTCCATCTCTACAAAAAATAAAAACAATTAGCCAGGTGTGGTGGCGCACACCCGTGGTTCTAGGTACTTGGGAGGCTGAGGCAGGAGAATTGCTTGAGCCTGGGAGGCTGAGGGCCTGTAGTGAGTCGTGATCACACCACTGCACTCCAGTCTGGGTGACAGAGCAAGACGCCATCTCCAAAAAAGAGAAAACAACCAAAGTCCACAAAAAAATCTCTGCTAAGCTCCTGGCCTAATATGTGGCCTTGGGCAAGTCACTTCCCCTCTGTGTGAGATGGTGCTGGGGACAGCAGTGGCCAGGACAGCCCAACACCTGCCCTCATGGGGCTTAGAGTTCAGTAGGGCAGAATACCCATCTTCAGAGAGTGATGGTCCAGGGTGGGCAGGGTTGGGACAAGGGAGCCAGGGAGCTGGAGGAGCCCAGAGGGTTACCTAATGGGTTAGGTATCTAGGAGGGCTTCCTCGAGGAGGTGACATCTGAACTGAGACCTGGAGGCGGAGGCGGGGTGAGATGTGGAAAAACAAATGGGAGCTCATTTTAGGCAGAGGCAAAAAGTGGTGAGAGTACCAGGTTCCCACCCTCTGGAGCTTATAATCCAGCATGGGCGACAGACGTTGATCATTAATCCACACAAGCAACGAGTGCGATGCAGAACATTTGTGAGTGTAATCCGGCTTGGTCCTAGGAGTGACGTTTGAGCTGACACTGGAGGATTTAGCTAAGTGTAGGATGAAGGAAAGAGTATTCCTGGCAGAGGAAACAGCATCTACAAAGACCAGGAGGGAGAAGAGAGCCTGCCGTATGTGAGGCCCAGGAGCAAGGCCAGTATGTCGGGAATAGCATGTTAGGGGTTGAAGTCACTGGCAGATGAGGCTCTCAGCCATGCCTTTTGGGCCCTTTAAGGGGTTCAGGTTTCTTCCTGAGGGCACTGGGGAGCAGAGGAGGGACAGCATCACTCTTGTGTCTCCGTAAGATCCCTCTGGCTTCTCTGTGGAAGTGAATAGGAGGGGGCAGGATTGGGGCAAGAGACCAGGGAAAGGGCTGTGGGGTGAGGACCCAGGGTTGGGGGGCGAGCAGGGGCCTAGACCAGGCTGTGGACAGGTGGAAGGGACAGATGTTCAAAGGGCAGAAGGCTCAGGACTACAGAAGTGTCTGGCTCTGGTTGGGTTTGTCGGGGGCGAGCTCAGGGGAAGACGCAGGAGTCAGTCTGCACTTTCCCTCCAAGACTGTGTCCTTCTCTGTATAAAGGGGTCAGTCTGCCTCCCCTGGTGCTGAAGTCCTGGGGTAAAATGCTCAGCAAAATCGTCCGTGACTTCAGCCGCTCAGCACGCCTCATTGACTCCCCCAGCGGCCCTGTGAGGGAGGTCCTTTTATTATTCCCATTTTCTAGATGAGGAAACCAAGGTTCACAGTGACAAGTCACCAGCCTGAAGCTGCACATTGTATTGCACACTAGATTCAAACCTGGGTGGGCCTGACTCCCGAGTCTGCCTTTGCCGGTATGGGTAGAGATAACCCTGAGCCCAGAGTCGTCTCACCTCTGTCTCCCCTCTGTCTCTCCCTCTCCCCAGGACAAGCTTCTCTGAGCATCTCTGTGTCCAACAGTCAGATCCAAGAGAATGTGGTGAGGCTCCTGCCCACCCCTGATGCCCTCCCCTCGCACACTCTCTCCCCAGCTCTCCCATCCCCTCTACTCCCCCTCCCTCATTTCCATTCGCATCCCTGATCTGCCCTGTCTTCACCCTGCAGGACATTGCCACCGTCTACCAGATCTTCCCTGACGAAGTGCTGGGCTCAGGGCAGTTTGGAGTGGTGTATGGAGGTGAGGACACTTCAGAGCCAACCCAGAGGGGGCCTGGGTCTCGGGGAAGCTGTTCTGGCTCCAATCGTTTCTTTCTGGCTCCAACCCTTCCTTTCTGATTTGTCACATGCTCACCTCCTATGTTGATTGTCTTAGAAAGCTAGATCCTGGGTGGACTGGTTGCAGGTTCTTCTTTTTTCTTGTTATTAATAGGAAGGGTAAATTTGGCACTCTGGTCACAGAGGTAGATTTTGATTGAACAGGGAAGGTAGATTCTGCACTCTGATTGGCCACAGAAGGAGAACCTAGATTCTGATTGGATAGGAGGGTAGATTCTGCATTCTGGGGTTGGCCACAGGCTAGATCCTAGATTCTGATTGGATAGGAGGGTAGATTCTGCATTCTGGGGTTGGCCACAGGCTAGATCCTAGAGTTTGATAGGACATGGAGGGAAAATTCTACACTCTTGGAAGTGTAGAATTTGGGTGGAGATGATCCTGTGCCTGGGGTCCTCACACATCTGTCTCTCCCCTGTCCCCGGGACTCTTATGGGCCACACAAAACTCGATGCTGGATTCTGACTGGCTGTAAATCCAGTTCCCCATGTTATAGAGTCTCCTCTTTGGAGCTTTTTTTTTTTCTTTCCCAAGGTGCACCTCTCATGGCTTTTACACATGTCTCCTGGGGCCTTCCAGCTCTGCTCAACTCTGGCTGTCTCCATGGTGGGGGGCAGAGGTCAGCAGAGGTGGGGATGCTCCTGCCACGACTGGGTGGTCTTGCTCTCTCATCTCTCATCTCTCCTACTCCCTGCCCAGGAAAGCACCGGAAGACAGGCCGGGACGTGGCAGTTAAGGTCATTGACAAACTGCGCTTCCCCACCAAGCAAGAGAGCCAGCTCCGGAACGAGGTGGCCATTCTGCAGGTGACCACCAGGGCGCCTTCCCTTTCTCCTCCCTCCTTTCAGGGGCCAGTGGACCCAGGGTAGGGGTGGTCAGGGAAGGCTTCCTGGAGAATGGTATATGCATGTTGAGACGGAAGGGGAGGAGAAGGTGTTCATAGCGGAAGGACCACCCTGTACAAAGGCCTGGTAAAAGGGAGCATGAGGTTTTCTAGGAAGGAGGTACTGGGAGATGAGGCCAGGGACGAAGGTGGAGCCAGACCCTGTGGACTTTCTCCTGAGGGCACTGGGGAGCCATAGAAGGCTTTTGAGCAAGGGAGGGGCAGGATCAGGTGTGTACTTTAGGAAGATCCCTTGACTGCCACCTGGAGGGTGGGTGTGGATCTGGGTGGGAGAGAGGGGTTAGGCCAGGACAGGACTGGGGGCATGGAAGTGGAGGGGGTATGGATTTAAAAGATACAGTCATGCAGAGCTCTCCCCACTTACCTGAGCTCCCCCTCCTCCCTCCTGAAACCCTGGGCTTCCACCAGAATTGCAGGATGTAAAGATCCTCTGGGCTGGGCATGGTGGCTCACACCTGTAATCACAGCACTTTGGGAGGCTGAGGTGGGAGGATCATTTGAGGCCAGAAGTTTGAGACCAGCCTGGCCAACACAGGAAAACCCCATTTCTATATATATTTTTTCTTTTTTTTTTTCTTGAGACAGACTCTCGCTCTGTCGCCTAGGCCGGAGTGCAGTGGCACAATCTTGGCTCACTGCAACCTCTGCCTCCCAGGTTCAAGCAGTTCTCCTGCCTCAGCCTCACGAGTAGCTGGGATTATAGGCACGCACCACCTCGCCCAGCTGAGTTTTATATTTTTATTAGAGACTGGGTTTCACCATCTTGGCCAGGCTGGTCTTGAACTCCTGACTTCAGGTGATCTACCTGCCTCGAACTCCCAATGTGCTGGGATGACAGGCGTGAGACACCGCGCCCAGCCTCCATCTCTATATTTAAAAAGGGAACAAACCCTTCTGGGCACCTGGCAGGTGGGGTGGAGATGGGCCTGTTCTGTCTTGGCCTGTGGGAAGCCTCCTTCCCTCCCCCAGTGCCAACACCCCAGCGACATCGTTCTCCTTGTTTGTCATCCTCCTGCTCCCATACCTGACCGTTTGGGGTCTGAGTCTGTGGACAACCTGGCCCTGACCCTGCGCCCCACCCTGCAGAGCCTGCGGCACCCCGGGATCGTGAACCTGGAGTGCATGTTCGAGACGCCTGAGAAAGTG